AAAAAAAAAAAAAAACAAGAACATTCTTAGATAAACAAAACCTGAAAGAATTTACCAACACCAGACCAGCTCTCCAAGAAGTTCTGAAGAGAGTGCTATACCAAGAAAAACTAAATACAGACACATAGAAATAAGAGTTTGAAAACAACTAATAAAATGGCCAACTTAATTGTAGGGACAAGTCTGGAGTTAAATCTTATCTTTCAGAATTCAAAGGGAAAATATCAAACCATAACAGAAGATAAAGTACATGAGACGTTTAGTGAAGTAGAATCTTAGGACTTTTGACAAAAGACAATGTTAAGCTCTCTTAACATTGTTGATTTTGATTTATTAAAGCTAAAACTGCTTTTCTTGAAATTAAAAAATGTATTTAAAAATACCCTTTAATGACCACAAAAAAAACACCCAGGAATCCTGAATATTATTCATTTTTCTTATTGTCACTCTAAACTTTCACCTTCAGCTGGAGATCTTTCAAATTTCTCTTTTTGTGCTCAGAATTAAATTTCTAATCTAGATTGTATCTATTTTCCCTTTGTTGCCTCTGTCTTACTAAATTTCTCACTGCTTCACTTCCCATTGTGAAAGATAGTTAAATGTTATATCTAAAGCTATTCTTACTAATCACATAAAGCAAATCACTGGGAACAACTATTGTGCTTTTTGCATAGGATCAAAATTATTTTGCTTTCAATCTAGAGGCTCCATATTAAATGTTCACTTAAGTCATTTAGTCTATTGTCTTCTACATACTTGTATAGCATTTTTCTCTACTGTAATTTTTATACTTATATCTACAAAATAGTATTCCTCTTATTTATCAGATTGTCATTAGTTCTTCTTAAATTTCATTTCCAAACCTTTTACTACAACATTGTTTTAACTATAACCAGTGAAATAATGAAGCAGTGTTATTTCCTAAGCAGTCAGCATTGTTGATAAGCATAAACTATTATGCTAGATCATCCTCTTCCTTATGTAAAAATCAATTAGAATAAAATTAACATTTCCTCCTACTATAGCATGAACTATCTTGGTGAATCTGCAAACAACAAGAAGATGTGACAAAAGCTAGGTGAGTTATTTATGTAAATAATGAAATGGAAGTGTAGAGTTCTGTGTTATTGAGCAGATTAATTTAGATGGTACTCTGGTAATAAAAAGACCCAAAATATCAGAGGCTTAACACTAAACAGTTTATTTATTAGTTCTGAAAAGGTCTACTGCAAGTCCATCAGCTGTACAGGGCAGAACCCTTTTAAACAGTGACTCAGATCCAGGTTGCATGTTGCATCCATTTTGTAGGTATATCATTTGGAACACATCACTTTCAGGTTACCATGGCAGATAAAGAAAGAGCTGGAAGGTCATGTAGGACTTTTTATTGCTCCAGAATGGAAACAACACATCACTTCTTGTTCACAATCCCTCTGCCAGTAGTAGTCAAATGGAACTGCACTAACTACAAGGGGCCAAGAAGTGAATGGGAGCACAGACATATATTGAACTATAAATGTCTTCACCACATTCTACAAATAATATAAGCTTTTTAAAAACATTCTAATGGACAATAATTTTGCAAAACTTTATATGGATATAAAGTATCCCTTAAATGTAATAGTTTTATCAGCATAAACCTATAGATATATATTTTTAGGAAACAATTATAAAGCTCCAAGGTGATCTAACATGACATAACTGTAATGTTCCAAGAAATTACTGAAACAGTGTGATATTTCCAGTGGAAAAATATGGGGAACTAACATGTTATCTACTAGATGTTTTCTGTCTTTACAATTTTACTTTTGATTCAAGAGAACTAAGTTGACTCAACTATTTAAAAAAATAATTCCCATTGAGCCTCTCTAATCACGCCAAAATTATTTGTATCTATGACATTAGCACATCCTTTGTAATAAGAGTTTTATTAAACATACATTTGTAATTCAGGTTACTCTGATATATAAAAATGTAAAGTAAAAATAATTCCTTAAACTTATGTTAACATAGTGGTAAACATGGTTCAGCAACAGACACAAGGCACCAAATCTTAGTAAAATATGAACACAATAATGTTGTTTCCAACTAAATTTAACTAGTTTAATTCAATATTAATGCTTAAGTCAACAGCTTTCAATGACATACTTACCAACATTTTGGCAGTAGTTTCATATAACAAGATACAGAGTGTACTTGAAGTCTGGCACTCAACTTGCTTATAGTAATACACCAGCTTCAATACAAAGGCATTAAATATTTTTTAAAACCTTCTTTTTAAATACTAAATATTTTGGCAACTGTGCAGTTAAATACAGAAATAAAATTAATATACCAAGATTAAGAAACTACAAACTTGAAGCTTGTACCCTAAGCATAAATCATATGTAAAAAGGATTACTGTTTATGTACAACATCTCAAGATAATTAAAACTCAATAATACAAAACACACTAAAAAGCCTCAGAATCTTCATTAATCAAAAAATTCCAGGGTCTGTTTGAAATGATTCTCCTTAAAAGGGTATCAAAGTTAATTCAAATCATGGAATATTTTAACATTAAATATTATTCAGTACTGTATAGTGAATAGTGGTGAAGTGGAGGTAAGTTTTATTGATTTGGAAACTTGCTTATGCAATAAACTGTTGTCTTTCTTGTTCACTTGAAGTAGCATACAACAACATCCCAAAATTTCACTAAGAAAAGAATGGCTGCTGTATTGGCAAAAATAGTATGTGTAAAGATCAAAGGCACACTATTCAGCTAGCCGAAGTGATTAACAAACACTCCCCCTACCCCACAAGCCCTTTCCCCATGTAAACAGAAGTTTATTACTGAAAAAATCAAAACTACATTTATCTTCAAAAGTAAGGAGTTTAAGACATCAATGTTAAGTCCTTGCTTTAGAAATGTCAACTACAGTCATCTTAATATTTTGAATTATATTTTAATAATATATCCAAATCAGATAAATACACTTAATCTTTTATATATATTTGGTCAAAATTATTCATTATCGAAAGTATTTTAATTCCAAACATTTTTAAAGCATTATTTATTTATTATCATTATTTTCAAATTTTGCAAAACTTTATATGGATATAAAGTATCCCTTAAATGTAATAGTTTTATCAGCATAAACCTATAGATATATATTTTTAGGAAACAATTATAAAGCTCCAAGGTGATCTAACATGACATAACTGTAATGTTCCAAGAAATTACTGAAACAGTGTGATATTTCCAGTGGAAAAATATGGGGAACTAACATGTTATCTACTAGATGTTTTCTGTCTTTACAATTTTACTTTTGATTCAAGAGAACTAAGTTGACTCAACTATTTAAAAAAATAATTCCCATTGAGCCTCTCTAATCACGCCAAAATTATTTGTATCTATGACATTAGCACATCCTTTGTAATAAGAGTTTTATTAAACATACATTTGTAATTCAGGTTACTCTGATATATAAAAATGTAAAGTAAAAATAATTCCTTAAACTTATGTTAACATAGTGGTAAACATGGTTCAGCAACAGACACAAGGCACCAAATCTTAGTAAAATATGAACACAATAATGTTGTTTCCAACTAAATTTAACTAGTTTAATTCAATATTAATGCTTAAGTCAACAGCTTTCAATGACATACTTACCAACATTTTGGCAGTAGTTTCATATAACAAGATACAGAGTGTACTTGAAGTCTGGCACTCAACTTGCTTATAGTAATACACCAGCTTCAATATGAAGGCATTAAATATTTTTTAAAACCTTCTTTTTAAATACTAAATATTTTGGCAACTGTGCAGTTAAATACAGAAATAAAATTAATATACCAAGATTAAGAAACTACAAACTTGAAGCTTGTACCCTAAGCATAAATCATATGTAAAAAGGATTACTGTTTATGTACAACATCTCAAGATAATTAAAACTCAATAATACAAAACACACTAAAAAGCCTCAGAATCTTCATTAATCAAAAAATTCCAGGGTCTGTTTGAAATGATTCTCCTTAAAAGGGTATCAAAGTTAATTCAAATCATGGAATATTTTAACATTAAATATTATTCAGTACTGTATAGTGAATAGTGGTGAAGTGGAGGTAAGTTTTATTGATTTGGAAACTTGCTTATGCAATAAACTGTTGTCTTTCTTGTTCACTTGAAGTAGCATACAACAACATCCCAAAATTTCACTAAGAAAAGAATGGCTGCTGTATTGGCAAAAATAGTATGTGTAAAGATCAAAGGCACACTATTCAGCTAGCCGAAGTGATTAACAAACACTCCCCCTACCCCACAAGCCCTTTCCCCATGTAAACAGAAGTTTATTACTGAAAAAATCAAAACTACATTTATCTTCAAAAGTAAGGAGTTTAAGACATCAATGTTAAGTCCTTGCTTTAGAAATGTCAACTACAGTCATCTTAATATTTTGAATTATATTTTAATAATATATCCAAATCAGATAAATACACTTAATCTTTTATATATATTTGGTCAAAATTATTCATTATCGAAAGTATTTTAATTCCAAACATTTTTAAAGCATTATTTATTTATTATCATTATTTTCAATTAAGTCAGAGAGAGAAAAAGTGACAAAGTGAGCCACCAAGTCTGGGACTTGATCTGTGGTCGGCTATGTGGGAGTCCAGTGCCTTTACCTACCACAGCATCTGCTGGCCCCTAATTTCCAAACATTTTAACCACTAGTATGACAGTAGAATTTAGACTTCCAGAGGAATTAACCACTAGAAGGAAAAACAATTGAATAAAACCCTATAGTTAATCTGCAGGCAACAATTATGGCCCCTTCTGGCACAGTGGCATTTAACTGGCAACTGAAAGTCCAGGAATAATTTTACAAACACAGGGAAACTCATGCATTTTGGTAAATATGCTCTTTCACAGTTGAAGTTTCCTTTAGACTTTGCTTTTTTAAATATGAAAATTTTTCTTTTTTCTTGATGTCATCTTGACTTGTGACTTGAAGTAGACTTCTTTTTTTTCTTCTTACTATGTTTCTTGTACTGTTTCTTCTTCTTCTTTTTTATTTTTTCCATTGATTTTTCTTGCTCTTCATGCCTTCTCTTCTTTTTTGCTTGCAATTCCTCTTCACGATCTGATTCTGATGAGAACTCAGGTGGTGAAGGTTTATCCTCAGGATAAGTCTTCTTTCTTTTTTTGCTGAGAATTCGGATACACTTTTCTTTTTCTGTTTCATCCTTTGACTTCTTTTTCTTTTTCACGGATTCCTTGCTTTCTGATTCTGATTCATACATAGAGCTTTCTGATGATTTATATAAATGGTTCTTCTTTTTCTTTCTCTTTTTCCCTTGTTTCTTTTCCACATCCTCAGAATCAGAGGAACTGCTTGAAGAATCAGAGCCTGATGAAGAGGAAGATGAAGAGCGACAAGATTTTTTCTTTTTTTTCCTCTTTCTTTCTCTTTTTTTTGATGGACATTCATTTCCACTTAATAATTTCTCCCTGCTTTTTTCGAGTTCTTTCTTCCAATTTTCATTCATTTTTTCTTCAAATTCAGCTAATGCTTTGGAGCCTTTCTTTTTATTTTCTAATTTTTTCTTCACTTCTTCCCAAGTGGGCCTTGGTCGATTCAGATAATCTTGTATTGTAGGGCCAGCAGGTTGAGTTGAGCCCCTCCATCTGGCCATTGCTATAGGATTCATATAGGCCACTCGATTATCCCTCTTTCCCATGGTGCCAGATGGTTCCCCCAGTAGACTCTCAGTTGCCAAAGATATGAAGAATAGAAACTTCCCTTCAGTTCTTCATCTGCTTGTGTACCAAGCAGACTCCATTCTGTGAGAGAAGCATAAGGGATGATTACAAAATGCCATGATCCTCTACCACAGCCTTCCCAGTCAGACAAGACAAGATCACAGGCAAGCACATACATGTCCAGCATGTACACAACATCCAGAATTTGAAACTCCATAAATTCCAAATGGATCCAGAGTGTTGGCACTACAATTAGTATCTTTTTTTGTTCTTTCATTCCTGTCTTATGAGGCTTATACAGAGCTATACCAGACAGTTCTTCTCCAACTTAGGATAGTGTTGCATAATCTACTCCACTCATTTTAACAGGAACTCGAGAGGCATACCTGTAAATCTTTCTCCTTCAACTCTCACATCCAATGTATTACTAAATCCCACTGTTTAAAACTCTATAAAAGATCTCATATCCACTCACTTCTCTTGTCATCACTTTAGGGAAGACTACTATTATCTCTCTCTTGGACCATTAAGTGTTTAGTATCTCTCAAGGTTGCTTTCTGTATTACAATGGATTATCTTGTTCAGTTCTTAGACTAAAATATATGAAGTTGATTCTGTTATTATCCCTATTTCATGGATGGTGAAACTAAGGCTTTGAGAATTTGAGTATAACTTGCAACTGGAATTTAAACCAAGGCAGCCTGATACCAAATTCTGCACACATGATACACTATCTATTGCCTCCTTACATCAACCTCTTCATTGAGAGCTCTAATTTCTACCCTACTCTTTTCCATGCCAGTTCTGCACTGTAATCAAAGGAATCTTAAAATACTCCAGTGGCTTTACATTTTGATGAAAATGTAAAGAGAATCAAATCCAAACTCCTATAAAGGTCTTATATTATCTTCCCTATTTTTTTCTCTTTCACCTAGAGTCACTCACCCTTTTCAGTTCTATCTCCTCCAGTTTTGCCTTGGTTCCTGAAGCATGATTAGTTCCAAGTTTAGTGAGCAAGGCCAATTCCACCTCATCCTTAAGGTCTCAGCTTAAATGACGATTCCTCAGAAACATAATTATTAGGTTGAACTATATAAAACTACTAATTTTATAGGCTAGAAACAGTTTAACTACCAACAGTTTCATATCATTCAACCTTACACTAAAATTGTTTTTCTGTCTACCTGTCATCTTCATTTTTCTATATTCCACTTTTGTGTTTCTTTTATTCCCAGCACTTTTTAAGTTGGTATTTTTTTTCATTTGTTTGATTATTTTGGAGTGTAGGTGTGTGTGTGTGTGTGTGTGTGTGTATCCACTGCTAAATGTAAAGACAAGAAAAATAAAAGCCATGTTTGGTCTGTCTTATTTAATGTGGTGTTACTAGTGCATAACATGGCATCTGATCCATATTAAGTACTCAATAAATATTTTCTCAGTAATAAACAAAAGAATGGGTAGATGGATGAGTAACTCTAAGAGTGAGGTACATTCAAAGGGAGGAGCCTAGAGCTGTTGATGTCTGTATAGGATTCTGAAGGATGAACAGGAGTTCACGCAAAAAATGAGGAAATGAAGGGTATTCTAGGAAGATGAAACAGTATGAGAAAAAAAAACACAGGGTTTTGAAAGAGCATAATGTATTAGTGTTGATGGAACTTAAAAAGCAGGAGGACAGTGGTAGGAGATGAGGCTGCATGCACAAGAAGTCTGATTGTAATGGGCTTTCAGACCATTTAAAAATCTTATCAATAGATTTTTTTCTTATGGTTGATAGCCAATAGTCTTTTTTTTCTTGAAATTTAAAGAAAAAAATTATTGAAGATCTGAAAAACAATTCCTAAAAGATCGACTTCAGAAAATTGTAGTTACACAATGCATTGCATCTGTCACGTTAAAACGTGCATGAGACACAAATGCAAAACCATGAAATAAGCCACCATTCTTCAACAATTTGAGTGAAGATAATGCCTAAGGAACAACATGGATGACTTGAAAAGGATGGGCTCTTTAATCACCATTAAAAAAAAAAGGAGCACAAATGGATAAGTGTGTTTAGTTATATAAACTGAATAGCACCTTTGGCATTAGGAATCAGAGCATTTTGTCATATAGCATTAACACTTATTATAAAAGTGCATAGTGTCAAAGGAATAGAACCACCAGCATTTAAAGCAGCTTTGTCAACTAGGCAATTAAACACTCTACAGTATGTCTCTGTTGTCCATCATTGAATACACTGGTAGCAACTTTGAAATGAAAAGAAAGGAAAAGACAAAGGAGCCAAACCCCCTTTATTTTCTCTGCTTAAAATCAAACAGAAATAAACATCAATTCTGTTGTACAGTAACATCTTCAAAGTACATCATTTATACAAGAGATCCAAACATAGGTGAGCAAGTGAGCCTCTCAAATAGCTTTCCGATGGTACTCGTGGGGAGCCACTTCATAATTGTTGGCACTAAACAAAGTTGCAGAATTCTTTGCCAGGTACTTTAGGAAATCATGAAGATAATTCAGTAATAAAGCAAGGCTCTTCTCATCAAGAAGTGTATAGGTCAACATTGTACCAACCCGTACAAATAATTTCAGGAGATGAGGCGCTCCATGCACCTGGGACATAGGCACATCAGGGTGATCTGCAAGGATCTTGGCATATTGTGGTCTTTCAGACTTGTAGAGTAGCTGAGTGCCCAACATGACGTTGAAGTATTCTTTTATACCTGCCACAACTTCATTAACAGCATACTCCTTATTACTGGTGTTTCCTTGAGTTTTCTTATAATTTGCATAATCCTCCAGAATGGAATCCTCATTCTTCTTAGCAGGAAGATAAAAGAGTTGGTTTTGCCTGGTAATTAAGTTCCAGTCATCAACAAGCCATGGTTTTACCTCTTCCGGAATCTTTACTTCAACTCTGTTCATGAATGTTTCCTCATTTTCAACAGTAGGATCTACCCGGGCCCTTTTCTTCTGAGGAGGTTGAGGTGTCTCACTGGTACTGCCATCATCTCCATTCCCAGGTGTTTTCTGTTTGTTCTTTTTTGTTTTCACTTCAACAGTTTTCTGTTACAGACCAGATGTCTTCTTTCCTGGCACAGCCCCTCTCATCTTGCCCTCTGCATATTACTCCTGATTGACTTTTTGAAGTTCTCACTGTTTCTTCAGATTGGTGTCCTCATATTTGAGTACTCTGCTCTCTGGAACCTATTCATCCCAATTTTTGTTCCTACCACTGTAATGCATAAAATATTTCACTTGCTTATCATTTATGGCAACTTTCACACTTTGCTTCAAAAAGAAGAAGCCCATGAAAGCACAGCACTCTCAGGGGCCAGGTGGTGGTGTGGGGTTTAAGGCTTTGGACACACCCACATGGTCTGCCACAGTTCGGGTCTGGTGGCTTACTCTCTCACTTTCCTTCTCTCTGTGTGTTTGTCTTTCTCTGGTCAAGATAAATTAATGAATAAATTTAAAAAGTAAATAAATAATTCAAAAAAAAGAGAAAAAAGCACAGCACTCTCTCACTCTCCCTCTTGAAATTTAGGCTTTGGATTCTGCTTCGGCGCCATTTATAAGTGATTTGCCACCTCCTCCTTTTCTCACCACCCCCTACTCCTGCCCCCTACTCTCTCCTCCGCCCACCCCCTGCCAATAGTCTTTTATATATAAAAAGTAGATGATCAGGCATATCATAGATTTTTCTGTCAGTCTCCATTTTGACTGTGACCCTTCAAGTCAACCTAACATACCTACTCATTATAAGTTCAATACTACAGACATTTCAGTGACTCATGATGATAGTTTCTTACATTTAATTTGCTGTGTTCTTGATATTATTCTCCTTTTCCTTCAGGTCCACCCAGATACTATTAGTTTTTTTCTTTTTTATCATTTTTAATCTTAAAATCCTGTCAAATACCATTTTTTCCTTGACTTGACCATCAGAAGCCTTTAAGGACTTTATTTAGTATTCAACTTGCTGACTTTTTCTATTTGACACATAAACTAGCATAATCCATTCAAATTTGAAGTCTTTGAGACTTGAGTTCCTTGAGATCAGCTATAAAGATTAGAAGAGGCCACTTCACAAAGGCTTTGGATGCTATGCTAAGGAAACTGAAATTTTTCCTGGGACTTAGAGTAAAGCTAATGGAGAGATACTATTTTAGGCAGGAGAGTGATATGTGAGAGTCAAGTATTTAGAGTTAAAGATGGATTGGAGTCAGGAAAACTGAAGGCAGTGAGATCACTTAAGTAATCATGTAGAAAAGCATAAAAGAGTTTAAACTATTGGGTTGTCAGTTATGCAAAAATGTATCATGAATTTTCCAACAACCCTATAAAACAGTGACACTGTGAATAAAATGTAGGGGAAATATATGAGACATGTTGAGGAGAGTCTACTAAAACTAGTGACCAATTCGATATAAAGGGTAGAAGAGAGAGAAAAGAATCTAGGACAAAGTTCTGGCTTTAAACAGTAGATAAAAGGCAATGTCATAAATAAAATGTATATAAAAAAGTACAGATTTTGAGAAAAAGTGCTCGGTTTTGTTCTGGACTTGCAAAAGTTGAGTGCCAGTGAGACAGACATATGAATGAACCTGCCTGTAGGAAATTGGACTAATGGGTGTTGGCACTCTGTAAAATGATCTCAGTCAGAGATATAGGACTGACAGTCACTGAGTGATAGCTGACGTTATGAGAGAAGATTAAATAACCTAGCAAGAGAATTTCAAATGGAAATAGTCTTGAGTATTGGATCTAATTGAACACTAATATGCAAGGGATTGTCAGAGAAAGAAAGGCCTGTCAAAAACACTTTAGAAAATTAGCCAGAACTGAAAAATCTAGACTGGCATCAGAAAAGAAAGCCAGAAACACAGGGAGCATAAAGTTTCAAGGTAAGGGCAATAATTCTCAAGACTGTAATGTTTTAATTTTCTACAACAAGTAAATATTGTCTTAACCATTAAAAAGCAACTCCCCTCCTCCCCCCAAAAAAGAAAGCAAGCAAAGATGGGATGGACGACAATATTAAATGCAGCACATAGGTGAAGTACAATAAGATC